TTTAGTAAAGCCTTTGACACCATTTCTCACAGCATTCTCCTGGAGAAACCGGCTGCTCATGGCTTGGACAGGGGTACTCTTCGCTGGGTAAAAAACTGGCTGGATGGCCGGGCCCGAAGAGTTGTGGTGAATGGAGTTAAATTCAGTTGGCGGCCGGTCACAAGTGGTCTTCCCCAGGGCTCAGTATTGGGGCCAGTTCTGTTTGATATCTTTATCAACGATCTGGATGGGGGAATCGAGTGCACCCTCAGTAAGTTTGCAGATGACACCAAGTTGGGCAGGAGGGTTGATCTGCTTGAGGGCAGGAAGGCTCTACAGAGGGATCTGGACAGGCTGGGTTGATGGGCCCAGGCCAAGTGTATAAGGTTCAACAAGGCTCAGTGTCAGGTCCTGCACTTGGGTCACAACAAGCCTGTAGCATTGCATGGGGTTGGGGAAGAGTGGCTGGAAAGCTGCCTGGCAGAAAAGGACCTGGGGGTGTTGGTCGACAGATGGCTGAATATGAGCCAGCAGTGTGCCCAGGTGGCCAAGGCCACCAGCATCCTGGCTTGTATCAGCAATAGTGTGGCCAGCAGGAGCAGGGAAGTAATCGTTCGCCTGTACTCGGCACTGGTCAGGCTGCACCTCGAGTCCTGTGTTCAGTTTTGGGCCCCTCACTACAAGAAAGACACTGAGGTGTTGGAGTGTGTCCAGAGAAGAGCAACAAAGATGGTGAAGGGTCTGGGGCACAAGTTTTATGAGGAGCATCTGAGGCAACTGGGGTTGTTTAGCCTGGAGAAAAGGAGGCTGAGGGGAGACCTGATCGCTCTCTACAACTACCTGAAAGGGGGTTGTAGCAAGGTGGGGGTCAGTCTCTCCTCCCAAGTAAGAAGCAATGGGACAAGAGGAAATGGCCTCAAGTTGCACCGGGGAGGTTTAGGTTGGATATTGGGAAAAATTTCTTCACCGAAAGGGTTGTCAAGCATTGGAACAGGCTGTCCAGGGAAGGGGTTGAGTCACCATGCCTGGAGGTGTTTAAAAGACGTGTAGATGTGGCGCTTAGGGACATGTTTTAGCGGTGGACTTGGCAATGTTAGGTTAACGGTTGGACTCGATGATCTTAAAGGTCTTTTCCAACCTAAATGATTCTGTGATTATTCTACACCTCTATAAGCACCTACTGTGTACAGAGTCCATCTCTGCCTAAACTCTGAGTGCTACTATTGGGGTGGACTAGTCAAGGGCACTGGCTTTACTCAGAAACGTGGCTGAAACTCTTGCTTAGAGTTTCACTACTTATCCTTCAACAATGGCTTTACAAAGCAGGGACAGGGACCGATTCCTCTGTCTACCTTCATCTGCTGTACTGTACAACTAATATAAAAGGAGTTTGTACTTGTGTATGCATGTATATGTGTATGTTTGCAGGGAGATGGGATCAGGAACTTCCCTTCATCGATTCTGCAGGCAAACCCAGTATCATCTCCCAAGATCCCACTTTTGTCAGGACATCTCAAGAAAATTTGGGGCATGGAGACTGTTTCTAGCAAGTTACATTTTCTTGCAAACCAGTCTTCTGGTGTGAGTTTTGCTCTGCCTCATACCACCTCACAGGAGCCAGAACTGCAGCTGCCTCTAAAATCTCATGTAAAACATTGGTCACTCTCTGTGTGTCTTATTTGCTCCTTTTTCTTCCTCAAAACCCTGCTGCTGTGGTTTCCAGAACTGAGTTGGGGGAAATCAAAAAGAGAAGTCCATTGCAATGACTTTGTTTGCTGTCATGTTGGACAGGGCAACAAAGTTTTCTCTGTTGTGAAAAGATCCCAGCAACTTTAGAAAATAGGAGGCCAAGACCTTGCAACAGCCACGCTTTTGGTCCAATGGCTAAAACAGAAACATTGCTTCAGGAGGAAATGACACAAATTTGTGCTCAGATTTTTGATGAATTAAAAAAAAAAATCATCCAGAACTGATTTTTCAGGATGTATTCTTAGTCGCAAACTGGAAACTCCCAGCTCTTCAAGGAGTATGGGTATCATTGATGAAAAGGGAGGCATATACAGACAGAGGTTTGGGCAATTTGAGGGAAGCAGAGCACTTGCTCAAGACTTCTGTGTCTCTGATTTGCAGCGATGCCTCTGATAGGGCTCTTCTACCCTTTTCTCACATTAGAAATCCCTCCTGGGGAGACTCTGGCCTTTTTCCTTCACGTGATATTTGTTTGCTTTCTCTTCCCTTCATTGCCATGCTTAATTCTGCCACATGTCTCAGCAGGATTTCCAAAATCCATCTCCTTTCTGCTACATCTTGGGCAAACAGTTGTTGGCATTGACTACTACACAGCCTGCGCTGTTGCTTCCCTCGCACGTGATTCTCCAAAAGTGTTTACAGCCTTTCTTACATGCTCTGCAGACTAACACTAGGTCGTTCTTGCTCCTGGCCAGTCCAGCACACTCACAGTAATATTATCACCTGCAGATGCCAAACACACTGAAAAGTTAACACCTCCATGCAGGGAGGCTGGGTTGGCGGGGGGCTGGGACTTGTCACTCAGAAGACAGCCTCATCCAAAAAGCAGAATTAACATTTATTGATATGGTTGTTTTAACTTATCAACAGAGAATATGCTGAAGGAAAAAGGAAACGTTAAAGATAAGCCATAAATAATTGTTCCCGTCAGGGACTGGCCAAGCACACTCCACTGAATGCTCTTCTTTCAAATTCTACTCCCGTGATTTGTAGGACCAGTATCCTTTTATGAAACAGAGAGGGCCTTTCCTGCATCACTGAGATATCAACTGGACAAGGAGTCAAGGAACATACTGGAGGATCAGGGCACCCATCTGTGAAGGAGGAGAGTGAAAAGTGGCTCAGTAGGTGCTTTACTGCAGCCTTAGCAATTTCATCCAGGACTGATCTCCATCTTGGAAAGAGATGCAGGGATGCAGGCTGGGAACTCATCCTACATTGCAAGATAAAGCATTTGTGTGAGCTCAGGCCAGCTTTTCATCAGCTCTTTCATGAGCAGCCCTTTCTCAAGGATACTTCTTCAGGTCCTTCATCCAAAATGGAGTTTCCTTCCTTAGACAAATTTGACTGCCAGTTCACAAATTCGATAGCAACTTGTGAAGCAAAGGATGTTATTCCAGTTACTGTAAGTGCTGGAGTCTCTGTTTCCCTTGACGTGAATTGCAGCACATTTTTCTGCAAAGAGTAAATTGGGTTCCCCAGGTTTCCAGAACCTGTAAAAGAAAGTTCCTCTACTGGAAATGCATTGGCATGCATGACAGTGGGGGTGAAGTCACCTAAAACAGTTGTGGAAGGGAAAGGGGAATGTTACTGTGACAGAGATCAGGAGTCATAGTTTTGACTAGAAAACTAGTCAAGTTTTCTGACTTATAGGGCAGTTGGAGACAGGAATCCCCCTCTAACACATACCTGCCATACGCAGTGTATTGGTCGCTTGGACCGAGGGGTGGGAATTACAGGACCTTCCTTGCTCCCCCCCGGGAATACTCACGTGGCTGCCTTCTTATATGGAGTCTGATCCACCCACTGCCATTGCCCATTTTTGTAAGCAGTTAAGCCTATGTAGTATTTCGTTTCATAGGCTTTAGTAAATACTCCTTTCGCCAAGTTGAAGAGGAACTCCTGGAAAAAACACAATGTCCATGAGGTGCAGACTGAGCAGAGCAGGCGGCAGGAGTCCCCATGGGCTGGGGCTGGTGCCAGAGGGGAGCCAGCGCTGAAGGGACCCAGAAAGGACATCCCCCCTCCCCTGCAGGACACGGAGGGGCTCTCAGTCCCTGCCAGGGCCTGGCACCGTGTCTCTGGCTGCTGTGCCCCTCTCTCAGCCCTGCACATACCTGCTCTTCTTCACTGTTGATCACCACCAGGTGGGAGCCCATCCCAGTGCAGTTCTGCTCACTCGCAAGCCAGGACATCCTATCAGTGGACAGATAATAGCACTTTTCTTGAAAGTGTTTCCAGCCCTTCGGGCAGCACATCCAGCCCTCCTCTGTGGGGGAAAAAAATCCTGCTTTTGAACAAGATGTGCTGTCCTTCATCTCTGTGAGCTCAGTGTAGGGTCCCAGGTGCTAGGGGAGGGGTCTGGAGCCATACTTTTAATCTGAACAGAGGTAAAAACTCACTTCCATATTCCACAAGTAAAGCTGTCAAGAGCCTGACAGGCTCTTGTCATGAGGCCCCTGCCTGAAGTGCCTTTCCCATTCTCTATCTGTTCTGCCATGCAACCTCTGTTTGGTGAAAGACACAGTTTCTGTCTTACCCTTCCTGAGGAAGCAGGATGGGAAGTAGTTGGCTTGCACTCTTCTGGGAACACTTCCATCAGAGAAGTGTTGTCCAAGTGTTTAGCTTTCAACTCATGCAGACTGACAGACACATAGAGTAAACTGCTCTGACAGCCTTGCTGCCACCACAGGCAGTTCCTTACACTAGCCAGGTTTTCCTAGAGATCTGCCTTATAGCCATAAAGTCACATGACAGATTAAAAAAACACAGATGTATTCTCTCAGAGCATGAGGCTACATGAGAACAGATCTCTGAACTGAGTTTGAGAATTTGCACTGCAGGAATTCTAGCACTTGCCATCGCCATCACTTCATGTGTGATTGCAGCTCAGCTCTCCAGCTACTCCAGACTGCATAACAACATCCTCCTGTCACTCCTACCTCTGTGCCTCGCACTGACCACGATGCTTCTGTGAACAGGCAGCACAGGGAGTGGAGCTGGATTGAACCAGCCCTTCCAAAAGGATGAAGCATTGTCAGTGAGATTAGTGAACTGGACTAGCAGTCGAGGGGTTGTGCGAAAGCCAGGGAAAGAGGAAGAGTAGGAAGGGCGGTCAAAGGTAGGTCTGGAACAACCCACCCTCTTCCACTGGCCCAGAACATGTTTTCATAGCATCCTAAGTAAAATTGTGCAATACAGCATTTTCTTTCCTCAATTCTCCAGCTTCCTTCATTAAAACAATCCAGCTCTGGCTGACAATCACATTCCCAACCTCAAAGGTTGACTGACACCAGAGTAAATTTTGGTGAGGTTCTTAGTGCTGCTTACGAGGCTCCTAGCATCACTCGCCTTTGCCTGCAGATACGCTGGGGACGCAGTGCCACTCTGTAGCATTCTGGAGCAGAGTCTTGTACTGGCCGTAGCTTCCATGAAGGAAAAGAACTGGGAAGAGAGGAAAGAGAAGGAAAGTGCTACTGTCATTCTTTTCTCCTCATTCATGAGAAACCTGTTCTATCCTCCACCTTCCGGCTTAGAGCTCCTACAGAGACTCTGTTACATTAACAAGCTCTGAAATCTGTATTGAACAAGGAGATGAAAACAGCAGGCCGTTTCTCCCACCACTGGTCACTCCCTCCTTTGAACAGGCATTAATCAGATGAGCTCCTCTCACCTCTGCTGGCTGAGAGACTCATTTTCCCAGCCGACAAAACCAGCTTAAACATCCTGTGAGGATGGGGTCAGGAAAGGGTCAAAAAAGTCATGGGATAAGCTTGATAAAGGTGGAATATTAATATACATTCCCTCCTAATCTTCCTGGGCACTGCAGCTTTAGAGCACCACTTTCACCCTTATCGAGAAGGCATAGAACTGTTGAGTGTTGAGCCTCGCCCAAGGGAGTTAAGAAGAAGGACAGAGAAGTCATCACAGCACTATGATACTCCAGTGCCCTCTGACACTAAAGACACTTCTCAGCTCTTGGTGGGAGGAGAGAAATGGACTGGTTTCATCCAGGACTGGCTTTGTTCAGGTAGGTGGGAAAGAGGAGCAGTGGGAAGGCCCTGCCAGGGAATGATCCTTAACTGTGGAAGGGACCCCACTCCCTTACTAAGAGGGCAGCAGAACCGACTGTTTTGGTGAAGGGCATATGCCTGCTGGCAGAGAGACTAGGATGTTGCTTTTCCATCTGGCAAAAGGCAGTCAGCTGCTCCCTTCATCCCCAGGGAATTAAGAGACCCTGGAACCCACCGAGGCAGGCCGTTAAAAAGGCAGTTTTGATGACAAGGACAGAAGCAAGGAACACCCAGGGGTTCAGCCAGGAGCAGCTTCTCTCTTCTTCTGGGCCTGAAAAACACAAGGCAAGAGTGGGAAGCCCCCAGCCCAGAGTTGGGGGCAGGATAACCCACGTGGCTCCATACCCCAACAACTCGCTGATACCCTTGTTCCACGGACTGGGTAACCAGGTCCTGCTGCCCAACATTAGCAGTGGGTCAGACCCATAGAGTACAGCGACACAGGGGCTGCCCTGAAGCTGCTCTTTTATATCACTTTTTATCACAAGCCCTGCCTGTACTCTTCCCATATTGCACTCCTTTCTTTGTCCTGTCACACCTCCTTTCTTCTCAACACATCTTCCTTGTTGCCCTCCATTACCCCTGTCTTTCACTGAACGCTCTTTCCATACCTCCCTCCTCTTTATCTTTCTTTAGAGCTTCTTCCTTTCAGCTACCTTTATTTTGTCTCTATCCCCCAAATCCTTTTATGCAATAGCATATAGTCAAAGGAGTGACTGGCCAGCTCAGTGTTTGCAGAGGCAGGCACAAGAAGAGATTGTTTCCACTGGGAGAATAGGCACCACGAAGCTCTTGGGAAGGCCCTTGCTTGGTTCTCCCTAGAGATACCAGAGATGGGAGCAGTGGCTTGTGCTTAGCTTGATGCAGGTAGTTTTACTTGGATAATGATAGTAGAATAGCATTCTTCAGTCCTATTGTTTACAGAAAAAGCACTGAAGGGAATGGCAGACCACAGTCTGCCTGGACTTTTATTCCCCTTGGCTCTGGAAAAATGAGCCATTCTCCCAGCCCAGGCACTCCCCAGTTCCCTCATCTGTTGCTTTGCTCTTGTCCTAAGCCCCTTCTCCCGGTATGAGGCCAGCCACTGTACCATGCCCATGATCTATCCCAGCCCTGTATTTTCCCCCACCACCTTCTTCTTCTACAGGAGGACAGAAAAGAAGGCTTTGTGGTTACCTGCGGTTCCAGGACTGACTCTCCCTCGCTGATTCATTATCTCTACCACGGTATCATTCTTCTCCAAGAGTCCACATTACCAATATGGCCACGAATACAGCCTTCCTCCTGCACAGAAGACCGCACTAGGACAGCTCCCACACTGGTGAGGAGCCTTCACAGTCTTTAATCTGGTGTGCAGAAAAAGCCGTCTCCTGGGTGTTCCCCACAGCACGTCGAGATGGGGGAATTTTTATAATTCCTCTGCCAGAACATTTCACAACATGCTCATTGCAACACAGAATGTCACAGAGGCAAATGAAAACAGATGAGGAGTAGTATCATTCCAGCTCAAACAACCTCCTTTTGCATGTATTCAAGCAGTTTCACAGGCAATACTACTGGCCTTACTTTTGTGCTTGTTCTTTCCTGGTGAGTGAGTATGTGTGTGAAAATACCTACAGTGTTAGTATTTGCTAGCAAAGGGCTAAACCCACTCACAACATCCTGCAAAAAGGAGTCAAAAAATGGCAGGAAAGCGTATCGGTGACTCACTCGGTCTGGGCAAGTCCCCGTGTGAAGCCTGAGCCCAGTAACCCAGAGCACAGCAAGGAAGTTGGCAACACTTTTTAATCAGTTGCTCAGGAAAAGAGGAGGGAGCTTTGAGTGGAGGGATTGCATATAACCTGTCATTACGGAGCTGGAGGTTAGAAGGGATCACTAGACTGTGCCAGAATCCCTGTGCATTACAGGTCATGAGAATCCCTGTGCATTACAGGTCATGAAGTTTTACTCGGTCACGACAAAAGGCACAGCATATGCGGTAGTTCTAGCACTGCTCAAGGCAACTTGATTCAAAACCCTGCAGGATAAAGTGTCCCTAAGATACTCCTAAGGATGAAGAATCCCTGCTGGCTCTCATGGTACTCTGAATGGACTGGGGTGGGTATGCAGCCTTTGCTCTTCCATGTTCCATCAGCTAGTTTCTCCCCGTGAAGAGGCGTGCACGGATGCACTAAGGAAGGAATGGGATAGCTAATGCAATAGCACAAGCACATCAGTTGAAGTCTCAAAAGAGCAGGGCACAAAACTGGTTACAAATGAAGATAAACCTAAATCGTATGTAAAGAATGTCCTATGAGTATGTTTTTTCTTGCACAACAGGCTGCAGGCAGGGTTGAACCATCCAACAGCTCTGTTGCATTGGAAAGATGGTCCATATATGTACTTGCTGGTATTGTCATAGAAGGTATGAACTACTAGAAGGCACTAGCTACTGGATTCACAGCACAATGAGAGATTCTCAAGTGACATTTTAAAAAGTTCCCAGCCATCATGCTGGAGAACAGAACTGAATTACACCACAGATTCCCCAAAATGAGAATACATTGTATTTGTTATTGCTCTAAAATATACTTGCTTTTGCGCATATGGGCGGGGAGCTGACTTTGGCTGATCAGTATGAAGAATTCAGAGGGTGCAAAACTGTCAGAAGGAAAATGTGCTTGGTTCATGTGGTTTAAATTTAGTCAGGATGGATCTAAGCAGTTTACTGATTTATTCGTGACATGTAATTAACTGACAAACCATGACCTGTGTATTCAGGATCAGTATCAGCAATCCAACAGATAAAGCACAATACCAGACACAAAATATTAATAAAAACCTACAAATTTCTCAACATCTGTACGTAACTAATCCCCACATTCACATGTTTACTTGTGCAATCTCCCATCTCCCACCCCTGCCCCAGGAAGCGCAGACTACAAGAACACATCCCTTTTCTGGGGTTCCCCTATTCTCACACACTTCCCTCTGGAGATGCAGGGGTCCTGTGTATTCACGCCACTTCCTACAACCCGCTAACCCACAGGCCAGTGAGAAAGCACAAGGTCACATAGGCACACTCAAGTTGTGGGTAGGTACATACTGCATCCCTTACTGCCAGGAGCGCAGGCTACCCACGGCATCCAACAGGGAGGATGCTCTGTTACAGACAGAGGTTGCAAAGTTGCAGGACAACTGTCAAACCAGGTCTTGACTGCCCCTTCCTTCCCACTTCTCTCTCTTCTCTTTGTTAAAAATATTCTTGCTTCTTCTAAGCTTTGTTTTCACACTGGCTCTTCTCTGTCTCAAAAGCCTTTCACTAATTCCCTGGTTACTGTTAAGCAGGTAGTCGTGTTCTTCTTTAACAAAAGTGGGCTTGGGGCAAATGCACTGTCAGATAGTTTCAGGTATTCAACTCACACATCTGTCTACAGTCACATTCCTATTTTATCAGTTGTTGCTATCCAGGCCATTTGACCAAGATGAAGGTCTGTGCAGGCACCCTCATGCGAATTCACTTCAGTGTGTGCACAGGGTCTAAAGCAGAAAGACAGCAAACAACTTCTTTTCAACATCACAAATCAAGCTACTGTCCCAGCAAATAAACAGCTGACCTCACAACACTCAGGTGACTAACAAACAGCTCTGTCCCACTCCAGGGTAAGAAGTCTCAAAGTGGCAAACTCTGCACTGGCCTGCACAGAAACTCCTTAGTAGCCCTGGTGCCAGGCAGCTGGGACCAGTGATGGGAGAGGTTACCTCCTCAGTGGAAGGCTCTGGAACCATTGCAAATATCTTATGTTTCCAAAATGGCAGGAACTTATTTCTCTTTCCTGCTCCATGAACACCAGCAGCATGCTTGGGGATGGCATGTATCAATGACCTGAGTCTTCCTGTACATCTTTACACAGTTCTGCAAGTAAAAATTCTCAGCTGTTTTCTACCTGCTCCAGCCATGAAGAGCTTCATAAGTGACCCTTAGTTATTTCACTTCACAAATATGTGTCAGATCAGTGTGCTGGGACAATAGGGTGGCACCTGGCAGTGCAGAATTGCCAGGGACTCCTGCCCTTCAACCACTGAAGATAGTGGTTATATGAAGTGGCACAGGCAGGATGGAGGGACAACCACAATACCACAGATGAAATGCAAAGACTAAATTTATTTTCATTACCTCACCAACCGGGGGATGTCCAAAGCAGCACCCGGGCAGAGGCACACAAGTGGGGACACAAGCACTGCGGAGCTCGCTCCGTGCTGGAAGATCACCAAGCCTGCCGTTTTTGCCTGGTTATCAGGGATACACACAGGCGTAGTTTACCACCGTGCTTTGACCTTTCCCACAGCAGGGCAGGAATTTCAAGCATGTTTGATAGGGTGCCTCTGAGCACACAAGACTAAACAACGATTAGTATGATACGTATGTTTTTCTGCATCCCAGCTGCAAGTCACTTGAGTGTGTTTACAATCCTCCTCACCATTCTTCCATTGTTTTCCCACAGTGGTACTTGGTTATAATAGGTGCACTTGTAGAAGAGGCACTGGAAAACCTTGAATCTACTTTCACAGACCCTTGCAGTACAGACAAGAGTCAACAAGCACAGCATGGTTGCAGACAAGATCAATGGGACATGAACTAAGGAAAATATTGCAGTTACAAGGTGTCTTGCAGGACTCAAGGTTGCAGGAGAAGACATAGAACGCAACTTCCCTCAGAGGTACTCAGGATCTGAGAAGCTGAAAGCCAGAAGCTGGAAGATAAAACTTCATCAGCTTTTCTGCAAAATTATACCACACAAGAAATTAGTTGCACCTCCTATTTAAGAGGTGGAAACACAGTGAACCCCGTGTTGGGAGCACCGAAAATGCCTGATTTTAGAAGCCACCAACCACCTGAAGCAGGTTGGAGAATGTATGAGAGGTTCCAAACATCAAGAACAGCAAGTGTGCTCATGTTCAGAAATGAACTTGTTGGATCTAGTTATCTTTTACTCAGGGTTGATGGCAGTTTCTCCATCAATCTGAATCCCCTGGGGAATCCTGCTTTCCAGTTTTCTTGAATTCAGAACGATCTGAAGGGAAAGACTTCTCTGCACCAGTCAAATAAAGGCAAGCAGTCTAGAAGGAAATACTAACAAAGTGAAAGGCAGAAAACACAGAGGAAGTGCTACCAGCTGTGACAATAGAGGAAGTGAGAATTAATCCTGCAGGAAATTGTTCCCAGTGTGCCTGGTGCTTTGCACTCTCGCGGACTGAACACCAGCTCCACAGTCCTGAGCCCCAGCAGTAGGTATGAGAGTGCAGCTAACAGAGGCAGCCAGCACGCTTAGCAGTTTGTGCAGCAGTTTCCAAGCTTTGTTTTCAGCAGCAAAGTACAAGCAATCCAGGAGGTTTCTGGAGTGCCTTGATGATAACTTCCTGACACAGGTTATGGAGGACCTGATGAGGAGACGTGCTCTGCTGGATCTCACACTTACAAACGAGGAAGAGCTGGTTTGGGATGTAAAGACTGGGGGCAGGCTTGGCTGCAGTGACTATGAGATGTTGGAGTTCAGGATCTCATGAGGGGGCAGCAGGGCAAAACCCAGGATCACAGCCAGGGAATTCAGGAGAGCAGACACTGGCCAATTTGAGGAGAAGACTCCCATGGGAAGACTCCCACCTACCTGATTTGCTTCTGTATCGATCACCACCATGTGGGAGCCCAACCCTGTGCTGGTGTCCTTGCTTTCATTCCAGGACATCTGTTCAGCCAATATGTAGTAGCAGCATTTCTGAAAGCATCTCCAGCCCATCGTGCAGCACATCCAGCCTTGCACTGGGTAGTGATAGCAGGCCACAGAGTGAATGCTACCAAGAAGACAGAGGGAATATGGCCTGTGTTCTGGAGAGTCACCAAAGGCATGAGGACAATGCTGGATCGTTCTCTGCAGGTTGTTACCCAGGCAGCTGGCCATACCACTAACCATGAGTCCAAATGAGCTACAGGAAAAAGCCAATCTCATTGCAAAGCCAGCGTCTTTGACAGGCTGCAGTAATTGAGAGAAGTGCCTTTCCTACACCTTGAAAAGGTAAATGGAGCATCTTCTGGAGCATCGTTCATATGAGGAGAGGATGAGAGAGTTAGAACTGTTCAGCCTTGAGAAGGTTGATGCTCACCAACTGCCTGACTGTCTCTTCCACTCAATATTCCCACTCAGCAGAGTGAAGATGCAGGCTCCAGCATTCACATCCATTCCAAAAATCCTGTGTTCTTGTCAGGTCACTGCTGGTCTCTCACTTTTACTCAGGATGAGGTTTCCTCCATCAGACAGTTGATGCTGCAGTTTCAGAAATTTGAAGACAATGTCTCTTATTCATGTGGAAGATTGATCCAGCTCTGGTGTACTTCTGCCTTCCGGTGGATTACAATACATGCTTCATCGTTCATGTCAGTTAGTTCCCGAGGCTCCAGAACTGGAGACATGTTACCCTCCAGCATGGCCTTGTCAAGCATTGCAGGGAAAGGTCAGGTCTAGGACCTGGGGGTCCAGGGCTCAGAGGGACATGGAGATGGACTCTTCCAGATGCTGATTCATCCAGAAACCCCTGGACGAATCACCCTGCCCTCCTCCTCCACTAATCTCACTAGCATCAGTCCTACATGGAAACCTGCTTTCTTCCTACAGCCAAGAGAAGAGGGCCATGTTCGGACCTGGCAGGCAGTGCTGCGCACCACAGCTCACCCTGGGCAAGGGAACTGCCGGTCCGTTCTGTCGTTCAAGGGCTGCACACCTTCAGCTAGCTTTACCACTGCAGGCTTAACCTTCCCTCTGTTGGTTCCGCTCTTCTCTGGAGGAGGGAAGAAAGGAAATCTGCTCCTTATTCTCGCATGCTAAGGATTATCACAGAGTGAGGGCTAAAGGGGAGTCCTGCATGGCAAAAGTCAGAAACTAGTGGGACCATCGCTAAAGACCCCAGACAAGGAGGTCCCCTCCAGGCAGACCCGAGGCCAGGACCCCAGGATGGGTTTGGGAGGAGCTGTGCCACTACAGAGGATGCTTTCTAGCTTGCAGATGAAGAGGCCCTCACTTGCAGGGCCAGGAGGAGGTACTGTCACACATCACCCTTCTTGAAATGACAGCGCATAAGGCCAGGCAGGACCTGGGTCTGTGAGAGCTCATCTTCTGCATGTTTCAGGAAGAAAGCCTCACCCCAGGGCTCCTGTGAAGGAAGGAGAAAAGCCATTCTGTGAAGTGACAGGATGCAGTCCGATCACCAAGGTGGACCACCACTGCGTTTCTTTTGCTCCCTACCTAGTTTTTCAGAGTCTGTTCAAAAGGAGGCAAAGCATGGGCTATTTCATTCCACTAAAGCAAAAACAAAAGCCCTGTGATGCGGCAAAGACAATACCCAGTCAAAGAACAGGAATAGCCATGAAAACTTGAGAAGGGACAAGCCAAGAGGCCAAGAAACATGCTGGGAGGACAAGTGATCTGGAAACCAGAGAAATTAACTAAAACCAGAGAAAGTAAAATCCTTGGAAGGCAGACAGACAATTACACCATGAAGGAGGAATCCAACATGGTAATAAACCCTGGGAGAAGTAACTAAAATGCTCCTTTGCATGAGTGATCTTGGCCCTCATAAAACTACCTAAATGGAGGAGGAAATTCCTTGTCCAGCAGCAGCTCTCCAGGGGACACATCTTAACTCTGGGGCTAGAGGTACAACATGGTGGGGGGAAGAGGTAAATTGTGCTGTTCTGCTCACAGCTAGAGCATTGGGATCAGCTAGAGCCTGAGGGGAATGGGAGGAGGCAAAGTCAGAGAAATAGTGAAAAGAAGTCTCTTAAGTAGGACCTGTGAGGAAAGACGAGGCTTGGCACTGGGAAAAAGCAGTTGGAAGAGGCAAGAAGCATCTTAGCCACAAAAAGGCTGTGAAGAGCACAGTGGTCGTGTTCCCACCAGAGCTCACTGGAGGACATTAACTCAAGTGACAGCAGAGAGGGATTTTGTTCTACGTAAGATACACCTCTGCACTGTGAAGCTGGAGGGGACTGGAACACCAGGAAGGGGAAGGGAGGCTATTTCCAGCACTGCACTTCTCCAGTTCCCTGATACCACCACAAGTCTCTGCTGACCACCGCTTTCTGACAGCTGTCTGTGACACTGCTTCGTGTTGGCTTGTGTTATTGATGGTAGCCTGTGGAATTAAGTCAAGTCCCTGCAAGTGTCAATACTACACCTGTGGACGTACCCCCGTCAACCAGTGGGGGCAGCTGGTTTCCAGAAAAGGACTCCAGACTCTTCCCACCTGTCAGATTACGTGGTTGAATGACATCAGACGGTTATGAGCCCCAGGAACCCCATCACTGAAAATGGAGCAGGGGCCCAGGTATCCAAGCCAACTCCCAGGCAAACCAGGGTTTCTGAGAGGCACCTACTAGGAAGACCAGAAGTCTTGACCAGCTACTGGAGAGACCTTTTCTCTTTGTGTCTGTCATGAGACCAAGTATAGGGAAGACCAGAGGATGCAGGGGCCAGCTATGGATAGACTGAATGACTAAGCCTTACTGCTGAACAGGTCCATATTGTGTATGTGTAAACATTAATTTTTTCTGCTAGCAGGCTTTCACCCTGCTAGCAGCCAGGGAGGGGAACAAGATCAAGCTGCTCGTGCTGTTTGTGTCAGTGCTTTCTGTCTGTGTTGACCTGTGTGGTTGCTTATATGTATACATCCTTTTTCTTCCATGTGTATCTATATATGTACATATTGTACATACATGCTCAGTCTCACTAGCATCTGGAGCTGGGGATATGGAGCTGCAGCAGCCTTGCCTCTGCTGGGCTGTGGGATTCAGCAGCTCCTGCCACCACCCACTGCCGTTCACAGAACTACTCCTGTTGATTGGCTTATGAAGCCAAACCTCCTGGTCACCTTGTCTCCAGTACAAATTCTCCCCTCTCTTTGGGATACAGAGAGAGGATTCACTTTCATAGGTAGGACAGAGTCACACAGCCAGGAGATGCACACCAATGCCCTGTGGGAAGCTGTCACTGTTTGGTCAGGAAAGCTTAGGCCGATGATGTTTCCTGAGACAAACAGAAGTGGGGGCACAGGGGTCAGGAAGTTGGAATGGGTGGAGAAAAAGCGGGATCCATGGTGGCAGATGGTCTGCAGCAGGACATGAAGGCAGTTCAATAGGCAATGCACTTCTGGAAGGGACCTCATGTGCAGCAGCAGCCCTGCCCCCTCCTGCCTCTTCTGCAGCATGGTCTGGCCTGGGCAGGTATGCCCTTACAGGGACCGCTGAGGTGTTGGCCCCCCGGGAAGGCTGCTGCATCAGGTGAGTCTGGGATCAGATCTTAGTTGGGAAGAGGACTTCTGCCTCGAGGTGACACTGAAGGACCCAGTCATTTTGCCACTGGGGACAGCTCCTCATACTTGGTCAAGCATGGCCGTACCTTGGTCAGACTCCTCACACAAGCTCCTGTTACTCTCTGGGGCAAAACTTTCAGCCATGGAAACAAATACTCATAATACCCCTAGAACTGGTTTCCTGTGCCCAGTCCCCTGCAGAACTTTGGCTGTCTGCAATGGAACTGTGTAGCCAGGTTGTCTCTGAGCCATTTACTCTTACTGGGTGGATGCATCTTCTACTGCAGTAGTTGCATAAGGCTGTATCCTGGCACAGCAACATCTTTTATCCTGGTCCTGCCCAAACAAAACCCCTACATACTGTGGGAGGAGATAAAGGCCCCTGTAGTGCATACAGGGAAGTGGCTGGGGAAGGCAATGTGGATTCCTCCTCCCATGGGAGCGAGTCCAAAGGAGGGCCATGAAGATGATCAGAGGACTGAAACACCTCTCCTATGAAGACAGGCTGAGAGAGTTGGGGTTTTTCAGCCTGGAGAAGAGAAGGCTCCAGGGGGACCTTATAGCAGCCTGCCAGTACCTAAAGGGGGCCTACAGGAAAGCTGGAGAGGAGCTTTTTACAAGGGCATGTAGTGATAGGACAAGGGGTAATGGCTTTAAACTGAAAGAGGGTAGATTTAGGTTAGATATTAGGAAGAAATATTTTACTGTGAGGGTGGTAAGGCCCTGGAACAGGTTGTCCAGAAAAGTTGTGGCTACCCCATCCCTGGAAGTGTTCAAGGCCGGGTTGGATGGGGCTTTGAGCAGCCTGGTCTAGTGGAAGGTGTCTCTGCCCATGGCAGGGGGGGTTGGTCTAGATGATCCTTAAGATCTCTTCCAACCCAAACCATTCTATGATTCTGTGATCCTATGATTCTATGATTCTACAAAACACAGCTTAGAGAGGGAAAAACAGAGAGAGCTACACACAGAGCACAGAGCCTTCTTCATTGGTCTAATATTGTATTTTCTCTTGTATAAGAATTCAGCTTTTGTTCAGCAAAACCAGTGCAACTAGAGGACATTCTCTTTGTGACTCAACAAAAAGCAGACACCTCTGCTCAAGTAGACAAAGAAGACTGCAGCTCTGAATATCTGTCTTCCATTCTTGTGTCTTATTCCTGGAGAACTCAACCTCTTTTCAGCCAATGGCTGCTGGACCCAGTCAGAGAGAAGAGAACACAAGAGCCCAGGACCTCCTTGGATGACCCTGAGCCTTCATGTGTTCCCTGAGCCATTATGTGGACTGGGGATGCTGGACTTGGGGTACTATCACTTCTACTGACATCGTCCCACCCAGCACAGTGAAGATGCAGGCTTCAGGGTCCCCCCCCCCTCCCAGCACAGCCCTGCACTGTTCCCAGATCACTGATCATCTCTCAGTTTTACTCAGGATGAGGGTATCTCCATCACATAGTTACTGCTGCAGCTTCACAAATTCGATATTGATTCTCGCATTTGACATCATTCCAGTTGTTTTGTGGTTTTGAATCCCTATGGATTACAACACACTTCTGATCATCCGTATTACTTGGTTCATTTGTCCGCCAGAACCTGAGATAGAGACAGACATGTTACTCCCCAGTGTACCCTGTAGAGTACTGCTGGAAAAGGCCACAGCAGGATGCAAGGCTTGGAGGGGAGAGAGAAAAATTCCAGATACTGGTTCATGGACAGAAGCAGTACCCTTCCTCCTACTCTGATATCCCACTGGCACCAATCTTATGTGGAAACCTGCCTTCTTCCTACAGCCAACACTACAGTCCTGGTGGGGGGAGCTGCTCACCATTGCTCACCCCATGCACTTCACACCCAGCAGAGGCATGTGTCTGCCTCCAGGGCAAGTTTGTCCTGCAGAAGAAGACACAGCAAGGACAGCCCTGGTGATCTCTCCCTGTGCCCCATCTCTTCCACAGCATCACAGCGCTGGCCATGCCCATGAACATATGTACACATAGGCATGGTGGGGGCACTAAGGAGGTCAGGCAAGGCTGGTCATCTCTGAAGGGTTCTTCCTGCTGGCGAGATGCAGCTTCTTCTGTGCCTGCAGCATTGATGGCCATGTCACAGGTAGTTAATTTATAACCAATAACCAGCATGGATAAGGCCATGTGAACATGGTGTCCTGCACAGCCCTCTCCTGCTCCATCATTGACCTCTCATCTTGGGTTGTGTCTCACCTACCTTTCATGCACCAACAGACACCCTCACATCTCCCCTACTTTCATGCACTACCAGGAGCCACACCAAACTCTCTCCCTCCGGGGATACTCACGCTGCTGTCGCAATAAATGGAGTATTGTCCACCCAGTGCCACTGGCCCACTTCCTGTGCACTCAGACCGATGTAGTAATTCTCTCCTCTAAAAGGTAGTTGAACCTCCTTAGAGAGGAAAGCCTGGAAGTCAGGGAGAGCACAATGTCCATGAGGTGCAGACTGAGCAGAGCAGGCGGCAGGAGTCCCCATGGGCTGGGGCTGGTGCCAGAGGGGAGCCAGCGCTGAAGGGACCCAGAAAGGACATCCCCCCTCCCCTGCAGGACACGGAGGGGCTCTCAGTCCCTGCCAGGGCCTGGCACCATGTCTCTGGCTGCTGTGCCCCTCTCTCAGCCCTGCACATACCTGCTCTTCTTCACTGTTGATCACCACCAGGTGGGAGCCCATCCCAGTGCAGTTCTGCTCACTCGCAATGCCGTGCATTGTATCATTTGAGAAAAAATAGCAGCTTTTTTGAAAGCGTTTCCAGTCCTTCGGGCAGCATGTCCAGCCTTGCTCTGTGCAGGGAGAGACCACAGAGATGAATGCTAATAACAAGAAAGATGGTGATTGCAAGGATCCCTGCTCTCCAGGGACAATGCTCATGTTCTACTTAGATCACATTTCCTGACAGAAAGTGCTTGAAAAAACAAGGATAGTACATATATTTCTTCCCATTGCTTTGGGGTATGACCAGTAAGCTTTGCGTACACAAATCCATGGTAATCCATGTAACATGATCTCAGGTCTTGACAAAGTTATTTTGGTGATCTGGTTTGACTTTTCCTTGTACAGTCTCCTTTAGGCCTTTAGCTCTAGGGAACAGGGAATATCACTTCTTTGCCTGACTAGAGCTGTACTTTTATTATTGCTCCATTGTTAACCTTCCCTGTGCTGCTGTATGCTGTCCCTTCTGTTTTGTCAGCGTTCGCAGCCACCCTGCCCTCCAGGACATCATTAACATGGCCCTCTCCTCCCCCTAAACTGTTAGCAGGAAATCCTTCTTCTCCCCACCTCTCTCCTCTGGAGCCTGCCTCTCCGGAGTTGGCTCCCGCTGCCACTTGCTGACAAAGCAGACCTCAGCATTCATTGTCCCCAACCCAAAGACCTCCTGCACCCCTGCCAGCACCACTGACCTTTGCCTTGAGGCAATGCCGAGATGCACTGCCACTCCATGAAATTCTGCTGCAGGGCTGTGGGCTGGCCACCGCTATGGGAGAAGGGAGCGACTGGAAAGGGAGAGGAAAAGCAGCAGGATTACCCCTTCCTCACACACCATCTCTGGGCTTCACTCCTGTTTCCCCAGTTCCCCACCAAGCACTGTCCCAGCATCACCTCTCCTCGGGCTGTCTCTTTCCATTTCACAAGTGGTAACTGCCATCCTCTCAGTGAAGGCAACAGGCATTTCTGCTCCCAGCGTCCCATAGCTGCCCCCAAGGATTCCCCCACCCACCAACTAGCAAGATCTAGCCAGGATGACCTGGCCAACAGTGCTAGAGAAGCCTGCGTCCCACCTGGGCAGTGTCTGGTGGCCATAGCCAGCCTGTGGTTTGTCAACAGAGTCTGTCCCAGGACCAAGCAGTTGACACCAGACCCCTTCGAGTGCTGTGAAGTTGAAGGTGGGGGGGGGTTAGTGGATCCCTGGTCCATGGCTCTGAGAAAACTGGCCCGAACAAGTGGTATGGCCGCCTTCCCAGCCAGAAGGAGACAATCTTCCGTGTCAGAGAGCAGAAGGACCATTGGAAGGACATCACACTGAGGACACACCAGACAGGATGGGGTCGATTCCACCCAACCACAGGCATTTACCATGTGGATACCTACAGCCAAGCTGCCTGTCTAAATCTCTTTACAATCGATGGCACAGTTTGGCTCTTCCTAAGCTACAAATCAACAGTAGTTTGGATGAGTAACACATCAGATGGGCCTGTTTCATCAGCAACAAAGACAGTCCAGGTGAAGGTAATCACATACAGCTAGAGCTGCTGAAACCAGGGTGGGAGGTAAACTCCTAGGACTTACTAGCCAGTTTATGGGGAATAATACAGTGTTAGTGACAGCAGGCTACATCTACAACCCAAAGGACTCATGACTAGCTCAAACACTCAGGGATATTGATTGGAAGCCAATCAGGGTGTGCTAAGTAATACAGATTTCTAATTTTATCAACCATTTCATTTAGAAATATTGTTACTAGTGAGGAGGGCAGAGTAATCATAGCGGCCTCTATGCCTGATTAGCGAATTCCTGTAATGGAAGAAGGCTCAGAGGAGATGGGCAAGGGCAATGCGTGACTGACCACAGCTGTTGCAAAGAAAGGTGACCTTATCTCAACACAAATGGGACCAGATGATGGACTTTGTTCTAGTTCAGCTGAGTAAAGCAACCAATTGTATCAGCTGAGTGAATTGACCAGCTGTGTTCATCCCTCTAAAGGTCAAAAAGAGGGCAATGTCTTCCTCAGTTAGCCAGACCAGCATGGGGTGAGTATGTAAGTGGCTTAGCACAAAATAGTGTAAAAAACTGAATGACTAACAAAAACATTTCTGAAGAAAGCAATGGGCCTGAGCTGGTTTTAACCTACATATTCCTTCTTGGTCACAGGGGACACCCAGTGTCTTGATGTTGAGCATATTGCAGAGACTGGTAATGAGAATCACATTTGTATTGTGACTCAACTATGCATTGCAATTGCTACCTCTGTTAAGTGCAGTTTGTACTTATGTTTTCATTTAAATACATTACTGTATCACTCTGCTAAATCAAAATCCTATATAACATCAATTAACTTGGATAAATAAATTTGCCATTAAAGATTAAATCTTGCATGTGTGGAATATCTAAAAATACTGACCAGGCAATATCAGACTCTAACAGCCCACCCTAAACCTCCCCAGCCATTTAACAGAGTACTGTCAAAAGTTACACATTTGGGAACAAAGCAATACAAACTTCTGGGACTCGGGAACTAATGACAGCAAAAGGAAGGGCAGCAATTTATCCTGACAACATGCCTCTTCCAGAATCCATCATCTTTATTGACAATTTGTGCAAACATGCCATGAATTATCTTTAGCAGAGAATGAGAATGAAACAGTGATTGCAATGTCCACAAACTGCATGTGCAAGAATAACTTTTTATGAATTATTCTAGTATACTGCAATTAACACTAAAAAGGTGTGAGAGCTTGCACCAGTTAATCCTGGAGATGCCAGAACTGTGAAAAGTCATTTTTTCCACTAGGACACTTAGTGTGTCCAAGCAACTTAGAGAGCTCAAGTGCAGATCTAGCTGTCTGTATAGACACTTGTGCTCCCATCTCCAGGTTTTTCCCCCCTCTGCTGAATGTAATTAAGTTCTTTTTGTGTGGTATGAAGGTAGAAAATTGTTCCACAGTTCCGAAGAGGCTGTGCAAGATGGGGATGTGCAATCTGGGAACACGGAAAAGGCCTCAGGGTAAACAGTGGAAGATTTGTGGGATGTATGCAGATATATACAAAGTCAGGGCAGAAAAGCCCGAGACCCTACAGAAAGCCTAAACAACCCTGAAATTCTGAAGATAGCCATGCTTCAAGTAGGGCATCAGACTAGAGACGTCCTGAAGCCCCTTCCTACCTAACTCTTTCCGTCATTCTAAGAAAGAGGATGGGTATAACAGAACCACCTGGCATAATGCTGTGGTAGTCCTAGCTCCCACATACCAGTTGGCCAAAACATCTGGTTTGGCTGGCCTGCAAGAGAGAAGTTTGTGTCATGCCACAACAGTACCCTTAAATCCCCAGTGTTTAAGTGATCAGGAAAAATTTTGCTCCTAAACATACCTTTCAAATATTCAACATTTGGGTTTTCTGAGCCCAAATGTTGGTCCTAGCATCCTTTCCCATAACAAAACTGTTCCTGAGTAAAAGCTCCCTCCTGGTTGCAAGATATTGCCCTCTGCACTCTGATTTCTCCGCTTTCCTCCAAGCGCTTCCCCCAGACCTCTCTCCTGTAACCAGGCTGCACATACTCACCAAGGAGAGCAGTAACAAGGGCAATGCACACCAAGAGGAGCAGCAGTGAGATCAGCCACGGGAGCCATAGAGGGTATTTCTGGGGATGGTGCTGACGCTTCTTCTTCTCAGGAGGTACTAAAAGTGAAGAAACATACCAAACATAACACCAGTCAACTATGCTTCAGTTAGTCCACATATCAAGGATGTAGAACTCAAGGGAGAGCTGCTCCAAAAAAATGCAATTTCAGCTCTGATGTGGCAGTTCCGCAGTTCGGGAGAGGGGCAGGCTGGGACAGAGCAGGGGACCTCTGTGGTTTCTGGAGAAGATCAGGTTCAGCCACAGGGTTCACAGCCCCAGCCCAGCTGGTGAGCCAGCAATGCTAATTGCTGGTATTTGGGGGTGGCCTTCACATGGCCTCAAAATCTGCAGTGAAACCATGTCTTTCTAGACTGAGCCCAAAGCTGCCAAATGCAAGTTGTTCTACCCATGATACCTGAGACATTCTTATGAAGATTTCATGTTAACTTCTCCCCAGAAAACTTTTTATGCCTGCTTCAGTTCCTTCTTAGCTTTTTGGACTTTCTGTGGAGAAGGTTGGTGTAAGCTGAATGAGGATAGGAGACAAAAAAACATGCAAAGCTATGATGGCACAGAATCATCAGAAGATTAAAAAAAAAAAAAATCCCTTCCATCTCTGCTTTCCAAGCCAAGGTTTAGAGATTTGCTGGAGTAAAACTAGGTTGTGCTAGGCTGGATGCCTGGGAAGAACAGAGGGTTGTGTCCAGCAGCCTGAGTAAAGTATTCTACTCAGCTTCAGACTTGTTGGGGACTGACTTTTGTCTAGGGGGATACTGCCAGTACTGAGGAGGTTTGGGAGCAGGCAGGAGAATGGGTCACAGGGAAGGAGAAGCAAACACTTGTTAGGAGACACTTCTAGGTTGTAGCGGGTGCACAAGCCAGGGCAAACAGGAGGGTAAAGAGACAGCAGCACTCATTGCAGGACAGGAGTAAAGAAGTTTCAGAAGAGACTGATATTAATTACAAGCTTTAGAGAGACCCCATTCATTGTTCAGCATGAACCTCCCAAGTCTGCCAGCAGCCACGTGTGCCTGCCAGCCCTGTCTAGTAAGCAAGATTTCCAGAAAACTGCTGTCTGGGGAAGCCCGCTGACTACTTCCCAAAGGCTTGGGTGAGGCTGTTACAGCAGGGCAAAAAGCGTCATCTTTCATTATCAGAAGAGAGAACATTCATAGACAGACAAGACCCAGATTTTCCTGGCCAAATCGTGTTTTTCTAGCCAGAGCTTTTTGTTTGTAGTGAAAACAAGGACCCAGACCATGATCTGGAGTCCAGCCACCTACTTCAGACAACAGATCTGACCAGTCCAAATGATTTTTTGATGTGCTGCATGTCCACAGATTGACTGTTCAACCTGTGCCCAGTCAGACCTGTGCATGCCACACTCACACCCATGTGGCACAGAGAGGACTACCAGTATGCATGCACCTCACCAACACAACTAAAGAGCAGTAGATCTTGTGCATATTCAGTGGGTTAATCTCCCTGCAAAATGCTTCCTACAGTTAGTCTGCATGCTTGCAACGTGTCCAGCATGATCACAACACAACTGACTTGATGAGCATATGCTGGTTATTCAGCATGTAAATCCAACATCTCCTAGGCACATGCAACAAGTGTGGTGCAGCACAGATGCCTATGTTTCCACCTGGGAAATCCGGGCTGGAAATGCAGGAACCTAACTGCATTGTGGTGTGAAACCCACCGCAGTAGTCTCTGCCATCTCCTGCCACAGGTTATATGTTGTTTGATTAGCTGCTGTCTTGTCCTCTCTATCTTCCAATGACTGCCAACTTTGGTATCTCTAGAACCCAACTGGAAGAGGCTACAAAATGGGAAAACCCAGGTGTGCTTGGCCACTGCCAACATGGAGTCTGCATGGCTAGAGTAACCACTCAGAAGGACAACAGAGCAGCAAGACTCCCTCAACCTTTCAATAATTTTCAATCATAACTCTCATCCTATGAGCATACCATGAGGCTGTGAGAGACATTAGCACTGTGTGCAATGGTTCTACTGGACACTTCTCTGAATTCAAAGTCTAAGCTACAACCAGTGTGTGATCACTTGGACAGGCGCACCCAAAGGCAGACCCTGAGCACACACCCAAACCTATAGCATGAGCCTGGCATCAGCAGCTCAAGCAAATGTGGCTGGATCAGGTGTCTTTGGAATAGGTCATTGGGAACACAATGGGGAACTTCCACCACCCCCACCTCACCATGATGGAAATGCTAGCTGTAACCAGAACCAGCTAATCTTGGTGCATCAAAACCAGTGAGCTTTCAAGTCAGTCAGGAGTATGTACACTCTTTATTTCCATGGCTCATGCCTCAGAGCAAGCAAGGAATAACCTGGAGCTGATGCCTGCTCTATTTGGGATTGTAAAACTGAGGTAAAGCTGTAAATAGGCAAGTTAATATCCTTAGCAGCAATAATAATTCATTTATTTATTCATTCATTCATTTACGCACACATACTTTCACGCCTCTGGAACCTGCTGTTGTGTAGGGTCCTGTATCTAAGGGTGGAAGCAATGAGCCATACACGGAACATCTCTATGTGTTCCTACTTGTGGCATAATGACTACAGAATACTTACTGATCAGAACACGCCTTAAATTTGCACAAAGCCTAGTAAAGGCACCATTTTATAACTGTGATTTTTAATAGCAATAAAAATTTGTTTGGTGTGTTAATTATTTTTCAGCAGTGGTAGACATCAATCACAGAATTGGATCTTCCTCCAGATCTTAGATAATTCTTTCTCTGTGTGTTTTAGGGTGTTTTGTTCAAGCCCATTCTTCCTTTTAACTTTTGGGTCTCTCTTCTCCAAGGACCATTTCTCAATCAACCAAAGACAAAGGGGCTGTAAGTTTCTGCAGCCGGTGCCACCTCTCACAAAGCTGCAGAGGGCACCTGACTGCTCTGCTGTAAGGAGGAATGCTGGTTCTCTACTCCTGCTCTCTCCATAAGCAGGTATCTGTAGCCTCACTCTCTCAGAGGCAAGAGCAGTAGCAGCCAGGGCTTGGGCTTTTTGCTGCCATTTGCTGCCCTGGGAGCCCCTCCACCTTTGTGACAGATCAGATTGTTTGTAATAAACCATAGTGTCTATTGTTGTTATTCTGTATCTGTCCAAAAATGACTGTCTCATCCAAGACTACATAACATGTAAGGAGGCAGCTACTACCTGCATTGTACCAGGGCTAAGCACTATTACTGTACAGCACCCGTCCTGGACCCTCTACCATTCGCCACTGATGGTGTGGCAACCAAAGGACTAAGGGATCTCAAATACGTTCCTCACTGAATGCTCACTTGAAACCTACAGTTTGTGCTCCCAGTAGTCATCCTTGTTCATGTTGAAACTCCAGCCACCTAAAGATTCCCACCTATCCTCTTGTTGATGTTCCTTGACCCTCTTCAAAACTCTTCCAGTCTTCTGCTCATGTAGTGGTAGACAACTCCTTTTTCTCACCAATTTGTCAAGACCAGGTAGGAACCAGCCACAGAAGGAAAAGTCTCTCTTCCCTGTTCTTCAGCCCCTCTCCCTCCAGGTCCCCTTCCCCTGAACAACCCATCCATTCCTTACCTTTGACCACTGCAGCCGGTGATGCATTCTTGAACTTCACCTCAGCATAGGTGATTTCTGATGCCATTTATCATAGGGTGATCACTGACCCTTGTCCTTAGTTTTGCCACATAAAAGGTGGGGCTTTGAGGTCCCTGGTTCCAGAAGGAGACAACAATAATATTACCGAGACTTTCCCATCTGCTCTTTCACCCTCTGTCTGTCACAGAAGGCTGTGCTGAACGCTGGAAACACTGGTGATAAACTGAGGGTTCCTGGGAGCTCAGAAATGCTCTGAACAGATCTTTGGGTTCTTAGCCCAGGAAATCAGTCCCAGCACTATGGAAACTTCTGAGAAAAGAAAAATGAGAACCAAACAACTGAAAAGGAAGTTGCACTCCTCCTTCCCCATATCAGACTCTCAGCTGATATGTTTCCTTTGTAAGATCTCTTGTTTGGTGGGGGGTTTTTTTATACTTTATTTTTAACTCGCTCTTCTTCCCTTATCTTCATGCCTTTCTTTGTCTGTTAGTAATTCTACCATTGCTCTTAGGTTTGCAGCTATCATGGGTTTTATCCCAGTTTAACCTGCAGCACAGCCCAATACAAAATGCATTCTGCCCTCATTTGTCTCTTGTGGTTAATCTGCATGTGCTACATCAAATATTGCATGCTATGTCTCATCCTGGGAAGTCAGCCCCAGATGGCAGCTAGCACTAGAACAACTTTCAAATGAGGAACTGTTCCTGTAGAAGTTAGACTGGGGAGTTGCAGCCTTAGGCAAAGGAATAGAAATAATCAGAATTTTGATATATCCAAGGAAAAACAGAGAAGGATGAGGCCAGAGTCAGGGAAGAGAACAAGCAAAGTGGAATAAAAAAACAATTGTGTTGATGGTTTGAGAGGTTATTGGGAAGAGCACATACAGAGACCTTTCTATCACAATCTGATTTACAGCCTGTGGAAATTCAGAGCAGTGCTTGCTTCCAGGGAGTGAGGCTGAAAAGGGCTGGTTTATATTTTTTTGCTCCAACACTGTCGTTTATCTCCCTTTTCTGCTTTCTGGTAAGGGCCTCTGATATTACCTTGTGGAAAATGTCAGACTACTCTTTAGTCTGATTTCAAGCTGGGGCAGATGTTGAAAGGAGACAGTTAAGGGAAATGGCTGCTGAGATACCTGCTGGATCAGACAGACTTCTGAGAAGAAATGCCAATGAGTCAGGGTACCCTGGAGAAAAAGGGTGCATCCACAACTTCTCTGGGCAACCTGTTCCAGTGTCTTACCACCCTCATCATAAATAATTTCCTCCTTATATCTAATCTAGATCTAGCTTCTTTCAGTTAAAAACCTGTGCCCCTTGTCCTGTCACTACAGGTGCTGGTAAAACATCTCTCTCCATCTTTCTTATAAGCCCCCTCTAAGCATTGAAAAGCCACAATAAGGTCTCCAAAACAACCAGAAGAAAGAAGGAGAAGCTTTGCTTGGTTAGTTTGGCTAGCTGGAATTTCCTCAAGGCAGACCAGAATGAGACACTCGCAGGACATCCAGGGAGCTGGTACGGAGGGTACACAGGGCAGACAGGACAGTGCAAGGAAGAACATGTCAGACAACAGAGGAGAAAAATGTGGCAGAAGGTAAAGGGCAAGTGAGGGATGTAGTGGACATCTGAACACAGATTATGGAGAACTACCCCTAAACACAGTGGGGCATATGTAGCTGGATTTCTTTACCAAGGAGCCTCCTCACGTCTCATGTGCACTGAGCTGGCTTCACTTTTTGTATTGTGTGCAAAAAGGGTGACTTTTACACAAGAAGAAGAGTGGCTGCAGGACAGAAGCCTGGACCCTTGAGAAGATGCATGCTGCCTGCTTTTCTTTCCAACATCCTTCCAGCACTTTCCTTTGTCTTCAGGCTTGGCCCTCTCAGTAGAATTAAGCCTCCCTAAGTGTTTGCTGAAACCTAGTTATGCCCTCAAATTTCATGCTGAGATTTCAGTCAGAGTAATCCTCTGTGTGCTTCCCCCCTGTCCTTGGCCAACCAAGCCAGAACATACTCATGGTCTCATGGGGAAAAGGCTTACTTCCTGGCAGGGTTTCAAACTTTCCACTGTGAAGAAATAGGAAATACAATCGGCACACAGAGAAGGAAGTCACAGTGTAGCTTCATGAGCTTTTTGCCACTGAAACACCTCTCCAAACACAGCTGAGGCATTTCAAATACAAATTCATGATCTAGCTGCTGATTTTATTAGAATACACTAGATTGCGCTCAAACATCAGACGACAGCTCAATTCTTCCTTCTCAGCCATCAGAGTTGTTGCTTGCTGTCAAAATTCAACCCTGAATCATACTTCCATAGGATACAATGCTGGGCTTTTGTGCAACAACTGTGAGGTGATATTCCTGAGGGTAAAATTTGTGCTTTGAATTTCATATGCACTGACAGCATGTAAATGTGTGGGAGATGGGGAGAACTGAACCCAGCAGTTAGTTGTGGGGCTGAAAATAGAAAAAAAAAGATGACCTTGCTTTAAAAAAAACCCAGACTTGCACTATGTTTCCTTGCATTCCCACTGCCGTTTTTCAGTTCCTCCCTTCCCCCTCAACCTGTGTGCTGCCCACCCCATGCAGTACACCCTCATCATCCCACAATACCTGTGTTTCCCCACAGACATCTTTCATCTCAACCCCACTCAGCACTGCCAGGTACCTCCCATGCTCCTAACCCCCACATACCTCACAAGCCCCAGCTCCTTTCTAGGACTCATGTGTTTGCTCAGCACAACACTCCTGCTCTCCTTCCTTACTCGTGCTCTAGCTGCTGCCTTTAGGTGGTTGCTCTGCAAGCTGTGTGGGCACGGGCAGAGGGAAGGCAGTTTGCTGCATTCTGGAAAGCAAAGCAGAGAGCAAGAAAGGCAGAAATGGGGGAGAGGGGGGATTTCTCTAGCCAAATTGTATTCTCTTCATTGACTGTCATTCATGTGGTTTTGTTCAGTTTCTTGAATGGAGCACTGATAGCACAAGATCTTATTCAAGCACAGCCCACACCCAGTCCTTTCATAAAACTCTTTGCTCTGATCTTACTGGGACCCTAGCTGCCCGCTGATAGCACAGTCCTGCCATCACCTGCTCTTATGGCACCTCTAACTAGCACAGTCCTCCAGGTCACACAAATAAAGACAGCCTAAACCCAATCCTGGCTTTTTGTCCCTGCATCGGGGTGAGAAGAGCATCAGAAGTGAATGCATGCCACCCTCTTGGTCTTCCCTCTCCACACCATCTTGCTCCTCCCCTAGGGATTAAGGCCACGGAGGTAATAAAGGGAGAGCAGAGCCCTTGCAACCAAGGGAAGAGCATAAAAAGGCACTGAAGCACTGAGAATGAGGCCCCAAGGCCCAACATTGAGCAGTTCATAAGGGATGGCAGATACCTAATCAAAGGGATTCAGGCAGTGAGAGCTCCTAGAGAGCCCCTGAGGGATTTGGCTGGTTAGAGGGGATCTAGCAATAAGTAATCCCACTGTGTACCCAGCTTGCAAGGAACTGGTTAGGGCAGGGAGGGACAGGATGCTGCAGTTCTCACTGCAGGACCTGAGCTCCCCCAGCTCCAGTGGACAGTGTGGGAGCACTGCAGCCTGCTGGGACCTGAGAGAAAGGCACCCTGCGCCCTTCTGCGTGGCTGACCACACTGGCCAGAGCTGCAGGGAGATGGGAGCTCTTCTGGGAGGCTGATGACAGAAAGTGAACCAGGGTGCCATGCAGATACACTAGGAGACCTAGGAAGAAATGTGTTATATGGACTTGTGAAAGCTCAGAGAAAAGGACATTGGAGCATCCAGGCGTGAAGAGGAAACAGGGAAGGACTGAACCGGGAGTGAGAAAGGGAGGCAAGAGCAGCGAGTGGGATGGATAAAACAGAAGGTAGCACTGCAAAGCCACACTAATTTGTCAGGTAGCAGCACTGCACCACAGGCAGGCCTGAGTCAGCAGCAACACTTTGTGTCCTGAGCAAAACCACCTGGAGTGACACTCTAGCACTTTGACAGAGACCAGCAGCTCCCCAAAATGCTACGGTTACAGTACCAGGCAGAATGTGGTGGAAGGAAAGAAAAGTAGGAGAGATGAGGGAGAAAAGTTCCTCCCCAAAAGGGTTTGTACATTCCTCCCCTACCCACATCTCTGCCAAGTTTTAGCAAGAGCTGAGGGTTTCAAGCAGAACAAACCATGTCCAAAAGCGGCGCTGTGGGAGCTCAAACTCAGCTTTGGAAAGGGAAAGCTGCGTGCTCACCTGTGATGATAGGCTCCCAAAATCCCTCAGGTACAAGGGAAGGAATAAGAGAAGGAAGAATGGCATCCAGGGAACCTTCAAACAGACAAGAAGCCCCAACCCGACTCTTTACATATACCATTAACCCAGGATTGTTTCTTCAGAAGAGAAAAGATAAGTTTCATTTATTTCCCCTAATTAACAAATTATCCAACCAAAGCCAACAGAGGACACATTCAGATGCATTATCTCACAGCTTTGTTTTATGCCATTGCTGGGAACAGTGAACCCTCACTCCCTTCCTCTTTTGGATCTGAGCCGCAAGTCTCAAGGCCAGAAATTGTTGGAGATCAGATCCGGATGCTGCGGTTGCTTGTCAGAGCTGCACATCTGACTCCAAACCTGGGCCAGATCCAAGTCCTGGTCAGACGCAGTGGCCTGTTTCAGAGGCAGGGCTGTGAAGTTTAGCTTCTTAGAGCGGGCACATGGGATTTGCATGAACAAGCTGTGGCCACGTAACACCTCCCCACAGAAGCAATCCTTCACGCTTCACTGTCAGTTCTGCCCAAGGGTGGCACAGATCTCATTGGCCTTGAATTTGTTTTGGCTACATCTCTGCCCAGTGAGGCAAACACACCTCATCTCCCTCTTTTGAAGGGGGAGTGGAAAGAAAAGCACAAAAATGGAAAACAACCATGGTGACCAAGCAGGCATGGGGGGCTATCAGGTAAGGTCACCCAGACCCGTGCCGTAACCTCAGGGCCAGTCCTATCTGATCGCAACCCGTTTCCCTCCGCATCCCCACGTCCTCCCCACGGGGATGCACACGAGGGGAATGCAGCAGGGCGGTTTTGGGGAGGGCTGCGCCGGGTGGGCTGTCCCACCAGA